GAGGGCCCTGTGGTTTGCAAAGGGGTTGCCTCGTTTAGTTGAGGCTGGGGCCTGGGGATGGACAGCAGAGCATCTGTCTGTGCTGAGCAGAGGAGAGCAGAGGAAGGGATGGCCAGGCTTGGGTGAGGGAGATCTGGGTGCTAGAAATAGGAGCCTCTAGGGGAGGCCTGGAGAAGCTGGAAGGTTGAGGTGGTGACGTCCTTGTCCCTTTCTCACCTCCCTCACGGCCCTTACTTCACCCTGGCCTTCCCAACACCCCATCCGTCATGCTGGCAGATGGGGCTTTGCAGTGCTGTGTGCCCTGCCCTGGGTTCCGGAATAAGGAGGCAGGTCAGAGGCCTGAGGTCCTGTGCCACTTGTGACTTGACTGGTAGAGACAGAAACGGACAGGTGGCTGGTTAAAATAGGCCTGGTGGCCCCCAGCCAGGGGAACTTAGCTGACCTGACAACCCCTGGATTCCCTCATCCTGCCTTCCCCTTAGGTACCCAAGGACCTCCTCCCCTGACTCTTCCTCTCTGCCCACGAAGGAATCTGCCGCTCTCGGGTCCCAAAGGGAGGTGATGGGAGTCGTGACAAAGGAACCTTGGGGTGGACGTGCGAAGGGCCATGCATTGCTCTGTTGTGGCACAGCACGACAGTGTCCTAGCCAAGAGAGTGGGGGCTGGGGTCCGACGGCATGGGTGCCATCCTCGTACCACCACCACATTGACCCTGATACCAACTGGCCGTCCTGTGACAAGAGTTCTCGGAGGACAGGCGTGATGGAGACGACACGCATGCTCTCGCCGAGTTTCCACTCTAACAAGGGGCGGGGGGGACAGACGACCAAATAAGATACGTGGTCCCGGCTAAGCCTTGGGCTTTTCCGTGTTTAAACAGGGATGATGATGTTGTTTGTCTTATGTTACTCCTACGAGGGTTTGGAGGGTTCAGTGAAATAGCCCTCATTGACTTGCACGATGCCCAGCACACAGCAAGTGTTCCTTGGCATGATCTCCTTGACGAGGGTTCCATCCCCTCCTTCGCTATTTTTAGGTAATTCAGTATCAGACTGTTCGATATGATATCCTCCCCTTATCTCCTGTGTCCCGGAATCGGCTAGGTGAGTATGCTGCCTGGGAAGACCCCTGGAAGGTGCGGTTGGGTTCAAGGTGTGGGCTGGAGGTTGACCCCTCGCGTTGTGGTTCAGGTCAGGTCAAGAGGAAGATCCTGGTGCTGGATCTGGATGAGACGCTTATCCACTCCCATCACGATGGGGTGCTGAGGCCCACCGTCCGGCCTGGAACGCCTCCTGACTTCATCCTTAAGGTGTGTGCGGGATGGGAAGCGATGGGATGGTCCTGTCTGTTGCTCCACTCCGACCCGGACTTCCTTTCCCAGTCCCAGAGCATCTGGTCCCTGCGCCCGTCCTCCGGCACCAGTGGCACCCTGAAGGAGGGGAGTGGGCAGTGGGAGGGTGCGAGTGTCCTTTCAGCCTGTGCTCTGGTGCTCAGGACACCCCCGCCCTTCCCTGTTGCTCCACAGGTAGTCATAGACAAACATCCCGTCCGGTTTTTTGTACATAAGAGGCCCCACGTGGACTTTTTCTTAGAAGTGGTGAGTTCGCAGAAACTAAGGGGAACTCTGTAAGGAAGGAATGGTTTTAGGGTTCTGGGGAATCAGATGGCTCACAGGAAGTAGGGGCCGAGGAGAAAGGGGTACAGGCGGTTTTGGAGAGGGGAGGTTGTGGGACAGTGAGAGCTTGGATGGCTTCCGGGAGCTTGGGTTCGCGTGCTGTGCGGATGTAATTCTGTCCTTCCATGGCTGCCTGATCGTCTGTTCATGCAGCTTTGTGTCTTAACGGCATGTGGTGCCCAAGACTCGGAGCGTGGGGGCATTCAGAATTTAGAGAGGCCCGCGGGACTAGGCTGGACTCCTAGTGAAAGAGAACCGAGTGTCTAGAACCAACACCTCCCTCTCCCCTGCTCAATTTCAGGTGAGTCAGTGGTACGAGCTGGTGGTGTTCACGGCCAGCATGGAGATCTATGGCTCTGCGGTGGCCGACAAACTAGACAACAGCAGGAGCATTCTCAAGCGCAGATACTACAGACAGGTAAGGCGTGGCCCCGCACTCAGGGCTCTGTCCTGGAGTGGGACCCTCTGGGGGGGCCAGGGGAGGCGTGTGGCATCACCCCCTTGGTGGGAGTTAGCCACCCCGGGCGTCGTGGGGACCGGGCCATGGTCATGGGGGAGACGGGTCTCCCCTTGATGCCCAGCTCGCCCTACCTTCCAGCACTGCACTTTGGAACTGGGCAGCTACATCAAGGACCTCTCTGTGGTCCACAGCGACCTCTCCAGCATCGTGATCCTGGATAACTCCCCAGGGGCTTACAGGAGCCACCCAGGTATAGGACAAGGAGGCGGGTCTGGCAGACTGGGAAGTGGTTCTGAGGAGGGATTCGGAAAGCCTGGAGCTGGGATTCCTGGTTTACTGTGGGTCAGGATGCGAGGTGTTTCCCTTGCTCCTGAGATGGTGCCCCTCCCCCACACGTCCGTTTCATAGATCGGGCTGCTCCCCCCCACATTTGCTTCCCTGACACAGTGGTCTAGAAGCCTCATGCTCCCATGAGATACAGTGATTAAAACTTGATTTTCCTTTTGGAGGCTGAATGAGGAAGGTTTTACTTAAGTTGCTGGGTTTGGGTGGGTCAGGAGAGGAACATGTTTTAAGGGAACGATCCCCACCCCAGCTAGAAAAATCAGCCCGTCTCTTGATCTTTGTTTATTCTCACGCGCATCCATCTGACCCGCCCTAGACAACGCCATCCCCATCAAATCGTGGTTCAGTGACCCCAGCGACACCGCCCTTCTCAACTTGCTTCCGATGCTGGATGCGCTCAGGTAAGGGAAGTCAGACACTTAGATCTCTGATGAAAGGAGGTGGGGGAGTCCCAAGAGGGAATAAAAATGTGTCCTGTTTGACTCATTTACCTCTTTTCCCTTAAGAACTTAGCATTTGAACCCAGGACTCCTTACAGTAAAGCTCATCGTTTTTAGCCAGTGGGTTTTTGGGCACACCGGACCTCAGTTTCATGTGAGAATGGTGATCATTTCCGGCCCCCCATCTCCCATGAGGCCGCCTGACACCAGTGTTGTGAGGGTATCCACTCTGAGGGCGCCGCCAACTCAAGTTATTGTCGTCCCAGGTTCACCGCGGATGTTCGTTCTGTGCTGAGCCGAAACCTTCACCAACACAGGCTCTGGTGACAGCTGCTCCCCCTCCACCTGAGTCGGGGTGGGGGGGGAAGGGAGGGTGAGCCCTCGGGATGCCGTCTGCTGCCCTGTCCAGTGGTGAGGACTGTGTGGGCAGGGTCTGCCATTCCCGCCCCTCTCTGCCCTGGGAGCCCTGCACTCCGCATGGAGTCTGGATGGACACGTGGGCCAGACTCTGAAGCAGCCTCACTCTAACTTCGCGTTCGCACTCCCTGGAAACCCCAGACTGGGACATAAACGGAGGCCTAGGAGAGCCGATGTCTGGTGGAGAGACAGGACTGGCCAGAATGACAGATATTCGGTAACCGCGAGGCTCAAAGAAAAGCCAAGCCAGCTTTGTTGTGATTTGATTTTTTAAAAACTCTTGTACAAAACTGATCTAATTCTTCACTCCAAGGGCTGGGCTGTGGGTGGGAAACTGGGATTTTTGGGCCACTGGATTTTCCCCCAACGTGTCCCCCCCCCACCTTTTCCCTCTATTTTCCCTTCTTCCTAGATTCCCTCAGACCTGTAACCAGCTTTCTCTCTATTTCTCTCTTTTTTTCTTTCCTCTCTTTTAAACCATGCATTATAACTTTGGAAACCAAAGCTGCCCTAGGTCCTTCTATCCGGGTTGGGAAATGAGGGGAGGAGCCTTTGTTCACATCCACCCTGTCCCCTGGCGGGGCGGGGCCGGGGGGGGGGTTGGAGAAAGACTGCCGCAGGGACGAGGTTCGGGGAGAGGTGCTGTTGGCTTTGGGGGAAGGAGCAGGGAACCTTGACCTCAGACCGTTTGGCGGGAAGGGACTTGGCCACAGGATGGGTGTCCTGCTGGGGAGTGAAAGGACAGCTGTCAGTCCCGAGGGAACTTGAGGGGCGGGGCAGTAGGACACAGCGGTACGAAGGGAGGAGAAAGTTGGACCAGAAACCGGAGAGGCGGGACGCCGGGGCACCGACGTGGACTGGGCCGGCAGCCGGCGGCCGCTGCCTACAGGCGGCGGGCGCCCCAGCCCTCGGCCCGCGCCAGCCTCCCGCCGGCTCCGCCCCCTCCCCCTCCCCCGTCTCGGCGCCCCTCCCTCCCCGCGGCCGGCTCTACTTCCCGCGGCCGCCACGTGACGCTCCGCCCTTCTCCGAGATCACATGATTTTTTGCCGGCACTGCCCTGGCGGTGTTCCTCCGCGCCGACGTAGTCCCTGCCTTTCGGACCTCCTCTCGGCCCCTACTGCCACTTCTTGGAACCTAAGCGTTGTGTGCGCTTCCCCGGACAGGTGTTTCGTCTCTGCCCTCCTTTCCTTCCGGAGACCCAGCTCTCCCGTTTGGGCACTACTTTGTTTTGGTGTCAGCGGCCGCCTTCGGCGTACCAGCGCGTTTCGTGAATAGCTAGGCTCATAATTACCTCTGCCTCCCCCATCCCCCCTCCTCTCATCTCGTTTCCGAAAAGAACTTCGGGAGAACCAAGCCTCCCGTTATAATTAGCAGCTCCTAACCCTATGGGTCGCTAGGTCGCTGGGAGAAGGTCGGAGTGTGGGTTTTCAGTTATTTTCGAGCATAGCACAAGCCAACCACCTTCGCTACGTCGCTTGCGTAGTCCACAAGTTGGTTCCAAAGCGACTACGCAGGCGGCGTGAAGGGGGCCGTCCGTAGGCGGTGCTACGCTGGCGGCGTCCGGGCCGCTGCGCTAGTGGCGTAACCTAGCAGGCGGGGCGGCCCCGCACGGTCGGGGGCGGGGTTGGTGAATAGGGAAGTGGCGCAAGTCTCGGGATCGCTCCGCTGAGTCCGCCCGCGCGTCGCCGCCGTCGCCGCCGCCCCCCGTCCCGGCCCCCCCCCCCGGGTTCCCGCAGCCCAGCCCGGTCCAGCCCGGTTCCCGGGAGGATGAAGTTCGTGTATAAAGAGGAGCATCCGTTCGAGAAACGCCGCTCTGAGGGCGAGAAGATCCGAAAGAAATACCCGGACCGGGTTCCGGTGAGGACCGTAGCCAGGGCCGAGGGCGCGGGGCGCTGGCTCTGACGCCACAGCCCGGGGTTGGGGTCCGGCCGCTCAGCGCGGGCATCGGGCTGCCGGGCGGTAGCTGGGTTGGGAGCGGGCCCGAAGCTGCTGTGACCCGCGGTTGAACGGAGTGGGGCAGCGGACGAGCTAGGGGTGAGGGGACGTGGCTGGCAGGGAGAGACGCGGGGAGCGGTGTGGTAGGCTGCAGGGAGGTTGACAGCCTGAGCTGCACATGGCCATCCCCCCTCAGGTAGCTGGGTTCTTGGGATGGACGCTCTAGTCCGCCCAGACGAGTCATCCCTGCCTGGTTAAGAGAGTTGTTTATTAGGACGCCCTGCTGGGCTATCGTGGATGTTTAGGTGAGTCCGACGCAGTGGGGTCACGATCTCGACTCGAGGCTGCTCCGCGTGTTCCGAGACAAAGAGAGACGAGTCGGGTGGGCTTGGGTGCTTAGAATTTTGTTACTTGAGTTCCTGACAGGTGTAACTGTGCGGCTGTCCCCTCAGTGTTTCCTAATTTTCATCTTCTCTTTATCAGGTGATAGTAGAAAAGGCTCCCAAAGCTCGGATAGGAGACCTGGACAAAAAGAAATACCTGGTGCCTTCTGATCTCACAGGTGCGGTCCTGCCCCGAGGTCCGGGTTTGCTTTCCTGCGGGTGGGAGTGCAGTCTGCGGGAAGAGGCTCCGCACGGTGACTGTTGTTTGAGGCCATTTGGGACCTCTGGGACTTTGTCATACCTTCTCTCTTTGGCAGTTGGTCAGTTCTACTTCTTGATCCGGAAGCGAATTCATCTCCGAGCTGAGGATGCCTTGTTTTTCTTTGTCAACAATGTCATTCCACCCACCAGTGCCACAATGGGTCAGCTATACCAGGTATGGCGGCGGGAGGGGTCGAGACTTTGGAGAGGCGCGGGAAGAGCTTGAGGGGAAAAGAGTTTCAGGTCAGCAGTTCTTAGAGGAGCACCTTGTTTATCTCTCAGTTTTATCTTTGACTTCAAGATTTTGGGGTAGTTCCGGGTTGAAGGTTTGGACAAGTAGGAGTAGAGAGGAGGGAGAAAACAGTGTGCCCTAGCTGTGGTTCTGATCCTCCCTCTTCTCCAGTCCCCCTCCCCCAGGGCATCAGAGAACAGTTGAGATCTTTTTGCCCAGGACTGCTGCTAGGGCTAATAGGCTTGGCTGCTCAGTCCTGGAGCAAGTGAGGGAGTGGGTCAGGGCCCGAGGGTTTGGGGGCTCTTCAGAGGAAGGGGCTTGTGAAGAAAGGGTCTAGGAAGTGGGTGGTTCAGGTAGCTACAGCCCAGTCAGCCTTTTCTGCCTCCACCCCAGGAGCACCACGAAGAAGACTTCTTTCTGTACATCGCCTACAGTGATGAAAGTGTCTACGGTCTGCGAAGCTGCTGCCCCTGAGGTGGGGGGTCTCATTCTACAAAGAGGTGGCCCCCCTTCCCTGACCTACTCCTCCTCTGGGCTCAACCACCACCTCCCTTCTTCAGGACCTGCACTTCCTAATGTTTGAGGCTCTCCTCCAGCCCTTCTTAGGCGGAGGGCTCCGGGGGAGGTGGCCTCTCCGACCTCTCCTCTCTTCCCTTTCTCTTACCAGCTTTCCCACTCTGCTTTAGACTTCTCGGTTGTCAATCTCTGTCACCCCCACCCAGTGATTGTTTTGGTTTCTGTTCCCTTTCTAACTGCCCAAGGGGCTCAGAACCCCAACATTCCCTTCCTTTCGCTACCTTCCTTTTTGGGGGTAGATGGAAGGGACTGAAATTGTGGGGGGGAAGGTAGGAGGCACATCAATAAAGAGGAAACCACCAAGCTGAACTGGATTTTGCTTTGTGTTGCTTCCCGCCCCCTTTTCCTTTTTTAGTTGTCCTTTGGTGGGGAGAGTGGAGGTTGGAGGGAGAGTAATTTGGTTTATTCTGTTGATGTTGAGTTTTTCCTTGAGGGGGGAAAAAAGCGTTTTTGTTGCGATGGAATACTCCGAGTGTCATTTCGTCAAACTTAAAGTTTTATAGACGTGTCTGATGGGTCCCCATGTGAAAAAATACATGGTTTGGTTTTTTTACCTTGGGTTCCTGGGGAGAAAGTTTGAAAATACCTGCTTCAGAGAAATGCATCCAAGTTTGTTACAGCCCTTGGATTAAGGAAGAGGTTATCGTGCGTGGGAACTGGTCAGAGGACTCTGTCCTCAGTTGCATCTCACTTGACCAGACTTCGCGCGGGTGGGTGGAACTCGAAGGAGGGAGAAGACGGGGAGGAGGGAGCCATTATCATCCGGAGAACTTCATCACCCAGCAACCACTTCTTCGTCTGGCCGGAAGTGGGGCGGTCCCCCGGGGGGGAGAAAAGCCGCAGAATGAGGCAGTATGGTGGCCGAGAGTTCTAATCCCTTCTTTTCCTTCTTTCTTAGTCCCGCCCAGCCTACATTTCCCAGGAACCTGCGCGCGCTCTTCCGCTCTACCCTCTGCTCCCAATCTCCCCGCCACTCCCCGGGGGAGGGGAGCGGTTTAGTGCGCCTGCGCCCTTCCTTGGCTTGCTGGGAACTGAAGTTCCGGAGGCCTATGCGGTCCCCTTTCCGCGGTCGCCGGACGGACTACAAGTCCCTTGATGCATTGCGCGTCGGCGCCCGCGAAGGGAGGGGGGAGGGAGGAGGAGGGAGGGAGGAGTGAGGAGAGGAGGAGGAGGGAGCAGGCGGCCGGCGGCGCGGGGGGAGGGGGCCCGGTCCGGGAGTGCGGGAGGCAGGGGTAGAGGGAGGTGGCGGCAGCGGCTAGCGGACTGGAGTCATAACCGGGCCGAGGCAGACACCTCTGTGGAGCGAGGCAGTAGGAGCACCGAGCACCGGAGGCGGCACCGGGATCCCCCGGCTCAGGGGAGGGGGGCGCCGGACCGGGAGGAGGGGAGGGGGCGATGCTGGAAGCCATGGCGGAGCCCAGTCCCGAAGGTGAGCTCTCGACCGGCACGGAGCGCTGAGCCGGTGGGGGGCGGGCGAGCAATCAATTGGCAAACTTGGAGGTCGAGCCCCGGAGCCCAGCGGGGGAGCGCGGGGAGGGGGTCGGGGGCCTGCCCCCGGAGGTAGGAGAGCGACGAGTTGAGGGATCTTTGGTGAAAGAGGAGTGGAAGACTGGGCTGGGGGTAGTTGGAGATCAGACGTCGTGAATGTGTGTGTGGGGGGGGGGGGGGGGAGTGGGAGCTGGAGCCCCGGAGCTCGGGGGGTTAGGGGCCGAAAGGGCCTCCAGCACGTTGGGGCCCTGAGGCTGGGAGGCTGGGGGAGTCTGGAAGCCGGAGAGTTGTTGAGGAGGGAGGATGTAGGAGAGGACTGAGTGAGGAGCCCGGTAGTTCGCCGGGGTGGGGGAGTTTGTGGCGGTGGAGCTCCGGGTAGTTGCCGCCGGAGATGGCCCGGTGATTGTTGGAGGGGTGGGCAGATAGTTGTGGGGAGAAGAGGGGGTCTGGGTATTGTCTGCGGTGGAGAGACCTGTACAAGGCGGGCAGTTGTGGGGAGAGAGCGCTGGGAAGCGAGGCGAGCCGGGTAGTTGTAGGGGCGGTGGGGCGGGGTGTGGGGGGGGTGAGGCCGGCGAGGGCTGGGGCCGGGGGGTGGCGGAGGGTGAGGGGGGTAGCGGCGGCAGCAGCGGGGATTGCCGTAGAGGGAGAGAGTAGCCGGTGGCGGGGGGGCTAGAGTTTAGGGGTCCGCAGCCTAGTCACTTGGTGGGGAGTACGGGGGGGGGGGGGGGGGGGCCGGGGGGGGGGGGACTGGGGCCGGGGCCCCGGGGGGGGGGGGGGGGGGGGGGGGGCGGGTGGGGCCGCGTCCGGGTTAGCGCTCTCTGGTCCGTCCCGGCCGCGGAGTGGCGTTGGCTGTGTGTGCCCGTGTGTGTTCAGGGTGGGGGTGAGGGGCGCGCCGGGCCTCGTGCTCGAGTAGAAGGGGCCGGAGGGCGGGGAGCGGTTCGGCGTGGTCATCCTGGACCCGGGGGCCGGCGGGCTGCGAGCGCGGTCTCGGAGGGCCCCAGGCGGTAGATCGCGACCGGGGAGGAACTCGGGGCACTGGGCGCGTGTGAAGGACAGGGGCAGGCGGCCGCCCGAGCTCGGTCCGGGGAGCGGTATGGCGGGGTGGGGCGCCAAGAGATCGAGTAGACTGGAGTCTAGAGAAACCGTGAGTTGGGGGGGCGGGGCGCCAGGCCGCCGGTGGGGGGAAGGGGAGCGCTATAGCGAGGCTTGAGAGGGCGCCGCGCCCTGGCTCCGCCCCTCGCAGGGCGGAAGGGGGAGCAGGGGCGGGTCCCGCACAGCTGGGGACCTGCTGGCCTGGCTGGGGGACCTGAGGAAAGCCGGGGGGGGGGGGGGGGGGGGGGGGGTGTCGCTTGGGACCTCCGAGATTGAGAGGTGGGGCCTTGACTCAGCTTTTACTGCTTCCACAGATCCACCTCCGACCCTGAAGCCAGAAAGTCAGGTGAGCCTTCCCTTCTCTTTGCAGCCTGGGGTTACTGCCTGATGCCCTCACTCTGCCCTCTCTCCCTTGGCCTGCTCCCCTGGCCTTTTCTAGCTCCTTCACTGCGGGGACTGTGCCTTCGGGAATGCCCCTCCTAAATTCCTTGCGATACAGGTTTCCTTCCTTTCAGCCACCAGAGAAGCGCCGGAGAACCATTGAGGATTTCAACAAATTCTGCAGTTTCGTCTTGGCCTATGCCGGTTACATCCCCCCTAGCAAAGAGGTAAGGAGTGGAGAAGGACGACTAGCTTGGGGGAGGCGGTCCTAGACCTAGAAGGGTGGGGGGCAGAGGGGACTGCGCTACTTTACTGGAGAAGCCTATCAGATGGGACTGGCAAGAGCCTGGAGATTGGAAACTGGTGGGGGAACTAGTGCCTTGGGGTGGCTTGAACAGCAGTGAATGGCCTGGGGGTGTTCGTGGAAGATTCATCTCAGTGTATTTGAGGAAACAGATAAATCGGGTTTTGGTCTGGGGGGGATGGTGCTGTAAGGCAGGTAGGACTGGGGAAATGGCCAGAAGGTGAGGGCGGAGACAACAGGGAGGTTTTCAAGAGGAGATTCTCAGGGGAATTGCAGAGGGGCAGTTTTGAGTGTAGTGACTTTGGGTGGTCTGGGCAGGATATTTCGGGGTAGATCTTGTTCTTGGCTTTTAAGCTGAGCTCGTAGAGGGGCTGAGATGCCACCAGGTCTCCTACTGACCCTGGTCTCTCCCCTTTTTCAAGGAAAGTGACTGGCCAGCTTCTGGCTCCAGCTCTCCATTGCGCGGTGAGAGTGCGGCAGACAGTGACGGCTGGGACTCAGCCCCCTCAGACCTCCGAACCATCCAGACCTTTGTTAAGAAAGCAAAATCATCCAAGAGAAGGGCGGCTCAATCAGGTCCCACTCAACCAGGACCCCCGAGGTCCACTTTCTCTCGTCTGCAGGCCCCTGACAGCGCAACCCTGCTTGAGAAGATGAAGCTCAAGGACTCTCTCTTTGATCTAGATGGGCCCAAAATGGCATCTCCACTGTCCCCCACATCCCTGACACATGCCTCCCGGCCCCCTGCTGCTCTCACCCCAGTACCCCTTTCCCAGGGGGACCTCTCCCAACCTCCTCGAAAGAAGGACCGAAAGAACCGAAAGCTGGGGCCGGGAGGCGGGGCTGGCTTCGGCGTGCTTCGGAGGCCTCGGCCCGCTCCTGGGGATGGGGAAAAGAGGTCTCGAATTAAGAAAAGCAAGAAACGGAAGTTGAAAAAGGCAGATCGGGGGGACAGACTCCCACCTCCTGGGCCTCCCCGGGCCCCCCCCAGTGATACAGACTCTGAAGAGGAGGAGGAGGAAGAGGAAGAGGAGGAGGAGGATGACATGGCAGCAGTGGTAGGGGGTGAAGCCCCAGCCCCGGTGCTGCCAACACCCCCTGAGGCTCCTAGGCCCCCTGCCGCAGTGCATCCCGAAGGAGCCCCTCCCACTGACAGCGAGAGCAAGGAAGTGGGCAGCACTGAGACGAGCCAGGATGGAGATGCCAGCTCCAGTGAGGGCGAGATGCGGGTCATGGATGAAGACATCATGGTAGAATCAGGTGAGAGGTCTGCGGAGGCCCAGGGTAGGCTGGGAGGATGGGCTTGCGCTTGTGGACCCAAGAGCTCGGGCAGAACACCAACCAGACCTTCTTTCCCCAGGTGATGATTCATGGGACCTGATCACATGTTACTGCCGAAAGCCCTTTGCGGGGCGGCCCATGATTGAGTGCAGCCTGTGTGGGACCTGGATCCACCTCTCCTGTGCTAAGATCAAGAAGACCAATGTCCCCGACTTCTTTTACTGCCAGAAATGCAAGGAACTGCGGCCAGAGGCCCGGCGGGTAGGGGGGCCTCCCAAATCCGGAGAGCCCTGACACTGCCGTCTCCAGGCTGGGACTTCAAATGACAACATGACTTGGGAACTGAGCCTGAGGGTCCTGGGCCTTTCTCCAGAGCTTGGCTGTTGTCCCACTTCAAGGCAGGAATTCCCAAGGGAGGCTCGTTTGGAAATGAGTGTCTCACGTTCCAACCTTAACCTTTCCTTCCCACCTTGTGGACTTGAACATGGACCCATTACAGCTGGGGGTGGGAGGCTGTCTGGGTCCCTAGACACTTAATTTCTGTCCCTTAGACCTGCTGCCCCTCACTTTCTGGGCCAGGGTTGGAGCTGGGTTGGAATGGGACAGTTGTCTATAAAACTCTAGTGTAAATAGAGCACTCCCCTTCCTCCTCTTTTCTTGTATCTCCCCATTTATTCTACACCGGTTGTATTTTTAATTTTGGACTTCCCCTTTCGGGCAGGGCAGCTCAGAGGTGGAGTACCAACCAGGGTCTGGCCGAGGGAGGAA